TATGGGAGACATATTTGAATCAAATCAATAAATCCTTTCCTCTTATTACTAAAAGGATTTAAAACATTTTCAAAATTATATAATTCACAAGAATCGTGGATTTCAATGTCTCAAGTTCTTTTCAGAATGACATGGTACAGCTATGAAAAGACAAGTCCAAATCTGATGCCACAACTACAAAAGATTTTCTCTGTGAAATGGTGAACCCAATTTGATTATTCAAAGGCAAGCCTTGAAGAAATTAAGAAAAATGGTTTCAGAAAAACACAAAATGGTCCATAAAAACACGAAGTTTCTGAAGCTAGCCGATGGAGAGATATCTTTGTTTCTCAAATAGAAATAAAATATCAGAATACGCTAAGAGAAGTTACGTGAGGAAAATTTTATACTGGTGCTTATATTGAATATTATCTTTGTAAATTATCTTTTATCTTTTTATTTTTTATTTTTTTTATTAGTACATTACATAATAAGTGAGGAATTTTTTTTACAATAGCAAGTATTCATTTTTTAATTACTCAACTAACATAATGTAGGTTTTATTTACTTAGATAGCACCGTTTTTTGTTAAGTTGAGAATTCGATTTTTCGAATACGAAATCTAGACGTAATTATATTTTATAATTTTTCCAAATAATTTAGAATTCGATTTTTCGATAATCGAATTGTGAATAGTTTTCTTTTTATTTTGTTAAGAAAAAAAATAACTAAATATATATATATATATATATATATATATATAATATGTTATAATATTTTATTTAACATTTATAGTTTTAAATTAAGTATTTAAAAAGATTTGTATATTTCTAAAATTAATAATATATTTAGATTTATTGTTGAAAGTAGTAAAATAATATTTTTAAAATATATTATTAAATATTATATTTAAATTTATTTGTATGATTAAACTTTTTTTAATTTTTTGATTTATTTGATATTATAATTTTTTTCGAAATTAATAATAAATTAGGAGGATAATAAAAATCTTAAAAATTATATGTATATAAGAAGAAATAATATTTTGATGTAAAATTATATATATATTAAATATAAATTATTTTCAAGTTGATAATTATTATTCTAATTTATGCAAAATATATATGATAGCGGTTCAGTTTAACCGTTCTTAAAAGTGATCGTATGACAATGGTTCCAGTTTAACCGCTATTATAGTTAAAAAACTAATCGATTATTTCAAAAAGTAATCTATTAGTTTTTCATACTGAGAACCAGTTTATTTTTTAAATAATTGATTAATTTTTAAATAATCAATTAGTTTTTCAAATATATATTAAATAATTATAAATAAAAAATATATCAAATTAAAATTAAAAAAAATTATTTTTAAATTATATATATTATATAAATTAAAAATATAAAGTTAAAAAAATTATATTTAAAATTATAACCTTAAAAATTATAGTTAAAAAAATTATATAATTGTATATAAGAAGAAATAATATTTTGATGTAAAATTATATATATATATATATATATATATATATATTCTAAAATATAATTTATATTAATTACTATAATATAAAATATATATTCCAAAATATAACTTATTTTCATTTATATGTATATTATAGAAATTAAAATAAATTATATTTTAGAATATATATATATATATATATATATATTAAATATAAATTATTTTCAAGTTGATAATTATTATTCTAATTTATGCAAAATATATATATGATAGCGGTTCAGTTTAACTGTTCTTAAAAGTGATTGTATGATAGTGGTTCAGGTTTAACCGCTATTATATGTTCACATATAAGAGCTGGTTCCACGTTAACCGCTGTTATATTAAAAAAACTAATCAATTATTTCAAAAAGTAATCGATTAGTTTTTCATATCGAGAACCTAGGTTATTTTTTTAAATAATTGATTAATTTTTAAATAATTAATTAGTTTTTCAAATATATATTAAATAATTATAAATAAAAAAATATATCAAATTAAATTTAAAAAAATTATTTTTAAATTATATATATTATATAAATTATAAATATAAAGTTAAAAAAATTATATTTAAAATTATAACCTTAAACAATTTTCCTCAAAGTCCAGACATCCAGTGTTAGAAAACAGATTCAACCTGTGGCCCTTTTCTTTGCGGCATTCCCCGTATCCTTTGACATGCTTGTGATCATTCTGATTGACCCAGCAATTCGCTCATTGGCTTCGTCGTATCTAAGGGAGGGCTAGCTTCTGACATTGGCCTTTTTCCTCATGCGCATCAAGAATCAAAGATCTAGGAAGACTTCTAGAAGCTTTCTTCTGTCTCTGCCAATGCCATCTGGGAATTGAGCTGTAGCTCTGGTGGGGTTACCTTCTGAAGATGCTGTTGCGGAGAAGTGGTTGTTCTTCATGTCAGACTTCACTTTACACAACTGAGGATTCTGAAGCTTCTAGTGAGAGTTGATTATGTGGAACCCAAGGAAGGACTACTTCTTAGCCACCTTTCCTTTTCTTTACGGGTGTGGTCACAACATCATAAGAATTTGACTTGGTCATTGCCTATGCGGCTCATTGTCTTCTTCGGACGTCAATCAGGGGAATAGCTGCTGTTCCAGGGAGCTAACGCCAGACAAAGGACTTCCTTCTTTAAAACGAACGAATACGGAGAAGAGGCCTTAGTTGGTTAACTATCTTGAGGGATTAGGTGAGAATTTAGTTAGTAGTAGTGGTAAAGATTCTTTACTCGCAAGTGGAACGGTCGACATCTCACTCTAATGTCCTAGGATGTACCAGAGAGGGTGAACCAAGTCAAGCCCCTTAACGTTTGTTATCCCCCTAGACAGATCAAGAATACCCGAAATAAGGTGACTGTCAACTCCTTTCCTGGAATGCCAACTGATGGGGAGGCCCGACACTTCTGCAAATTCTTGGAGTAATTATGAAATTCCAATGGTGGGGTGTAGACTAGCTACAATCCTGTACCATTTGGAGAGTGCCTAGTTTACAGGGTTCCTATGGTAAATAGACTCTTTTCCTACCAGAGTGGTATGCGAAAGTGAATTGGCCTATTGGATTTCCGTGGTATAGAACAAAACATGCAGTTAAGCTGAGTCTTGTTCTTCCTTTGCTACCGCATTACCGGGTGTTCTTTTGCGGGATAAGTTACCTCAATTATGAATTATCCTATTGTTTCCTTAAGCAATATTTATAATAAAATATTTATAAGTAAATTAAAATCACAACAATAAAATATTATATACAAAAACTTAATGAGAATAATTTTTCATTGTAAATTTTAAAGATAAAATAAATTTTAAGAAAAGATAATTGTGGAAAAAGAATTGGAAAAAGACTATAGACATTTAACTTAAGAAAAAATTAACAAGAACAACACTATAGTAAATATAAGGAGAATTGTACAACAAAAGAGATTTGAGAGTCCCTACACATTATGAGTATATCACATCAAGAAAAAGTTTGTGTTTTCAAAGTTTAGAAAAAATAAATTCTTCGACTATGTTAACAATGTGAAATGTTATTATTGTTAGCCGTGATACAAATATTTGTGTGCTCCAACTAGAAGACTTAAAAAAAAAAAGAAACTTGGTTTACAGGTTGTCCAAATCTCTGTACGGTTTAAACCAGATGTTTAGGTGTTAGTACAAGAGATTTGATTCTTCATGATTAGCCTTGATTATAACAGATTAAGTTCAGACTATTATACCTATTATAATAAATTTGATGAGAATGATTTTATCATTTTGTCCATGTGGATGATATGTTGGTGGTAGGTTCCAACAAAATTCGAATCCTGATTTTGAAGGTATAGTTGGTTACGAAGTCTCATATGAAGAACTAGAGACTAACAAACAAGATTTTACGGATGCAAATTTACATGACATAAAATATAGTAAGGTTTGGTTTTATCAGAAGAATTAATTACTGAAGGTCTTGTAGTGCTTTAACATGCAATGATGTAAGTTAGTTTTTATCTTATTTTCTATCAAATTATCCTTAAGTATTAGTGATAACAATGAAACAAGGAGGATGAAAATGTCTCAAGTATTATTCAAGTTTTGCAGGTGATCTTGATGAGTTTATTTTTGTTGGAGAGACAATAATTGATTATCCAAGTTGATGTTGTAACTTTGTCTATCACAAAAGTTAAATACATGGTAGTCACCTAGGCATGTAAGGAAACTATTTGGATTAAGAAGATAATGGAAGAACCCGAGTGCAAGCAACAACAAATTGTTGTAGTATTATGACAGTTAGAATGTCTTGCACATTGTAAGTAATCCTATCGTGCATTTCATAATAAAACAAGAAAAAATCTAACAAATGTTACGATAGTAGGTTAGCAACAAGTTTATGTAGAGATATCCTAATGAAGATCTATTACAATAATAATATGGAAGACACTAATAATGTACTATAAAAATTTAATTAATTTAATTAAAATTTTTACGTGAAGAAAAAAAATCATAATAAAAAAATAATATATGTTGTTGTATACTGTTATAAAAGAAACATAGTATTTATTTTATAAATTATCTTGAATGACTTATTTATTTATTTATTTATGGGAGAATATTATTGTCGTTTTGGGAATTGAATAACGTAATTTCTTTGTTACTAACGTACAAAATCATAAATGCATTAACAACCTCGATCATTAAAGAAATAATTGTCAAAGTTATCATTGTGAACAATATTTTATGACGTTATCAAAATGAAGATGATTGTTATGACATCAATTACGAAGAAGATTAGTTGTGTAAACTGTAGCTACAAACATGACCCGAACTATCGAGACAAAGAATTTTCAAGTCTATAAAAATGAGGCCTGGATCATGTTGTGAGGAACCTTTCTTTCAATAGAATCTCTTTAAATTTTTTGCATTTTTGTTCTCCGTCTTCCTCTGGTCCTGTCTATACGTGCTACTGCGATTTCAAAGTTAATTTTTTATTTTATGCTTCTTACATTCACCATTAAATATTTATGTTGTGATGTCTGATAATTATCATGGCCTCTTCGTCACCATTTCCCTCTCTAAAGTTTACAGTACGCAGATGCGAGCCTGAGCTTGTGCCTCCTGCTCTCCCCACTCCTCATGAAACGAAGGTACTATCCGACATAGATGATCAAGATGGCCTGCGTTTCCAGATTCCAATCGTACAAATTTATCGAAAGCAAGCATCATCAATGGGAGAGAGAGACCCGGTTGAAGTGCTTCGGCAAGCACTGTCACAAACACTTGTCTTCTATTACCCATTTGCAGGGAGGCTGAGGGAGGGGCCTCACCGCAAGTTGATGGTGGATTGTACCGGAGAGGGTGTCATGTTCATCCAGGCTCATGCTGACGTCACGCTTGATCAATTCGGTGATTTCCTACGACCTCTGTAAGTAAATAGAATATAGAATATATTGGTGCAGGAACTCAACGTCTATTTCATTAAACTCAGGCTATTATATAGCCAAAACAAAAACAAATAATGCATAATAGGAAATATTCCTACAGACCAAGGATTTATTAAACTGATATAACAAATAATAAACATGTTTCATTCCCTCCTTTAAACTGACTGACTGCAATATGGAGTTAGTTTATTTTAGCAAGATCAATCATTCCCATATTCTTCCTATGCTTCTCAAAAGCCTCAAATTTCAGGGCTTTAGTCATTAGGTCTGCAACTTGTTCCTGACTTTCACAGTATACCATCTCAACTTCTTTGTCTTTCACTAGATCCCGCAAGAAATGGAATCGCACTCTAATATGCTTGCTTCTTCCATGCATAACAGGATTTTTTGAAAGTTTAATGGTTGAACTATTATCACACATAATTCTGGTGCTGTTTTGAGAATTAGTTAAAAATCTCAATACCCTTTTCATCCATATAGCTTGGCAGGCACAACCGGCAGCAGCCACAAATTCTGCCTCTGTGCTTGAAAGAGTAACAATTGGTTGCTTCTTTGACATCCATGATACAACTCCTGAACTAAATAAGAATACATATTCAGATGTACTCTTTGAGTCATCCTCATCACCTGCATAATCAGAATCTGTGAAAGCAAGTAGATTTGCCTCCTCTCCTTTCCTATAGAATATTCCATAGCTGGTAGTCCCTTTTAGGTAGCGCAGGATTCTTTTTGCTGCTTGCATATGTAATTCAGTTGGTCTGGACATGTACCTGCTAATTAAGCTTACATTGAACATAATATCTGGTCTTGTAGCCGTTAGGTACATTAAGCTACCCACAATTTGTTTAAAGTTGATATCATCCACAAGCATACCGTTAACATCTTTGTTAACCTTGCTGCCTGAGACAATTGGACTCTTCACAGGTTTGCTTTCAAACATTGCAAACCTTTTCAGGATGTCATTGGCATATTTTTGCTGGCACAAAAAGATTCCTTCTGGTTTTTGTAAGACTTCAATTCCAAGGAAAAACTTCATCTTCCCTAAATCTGTCATATCAAAAGCATGTGTCATACACTTCTTAAAATTAGTCATCATACTCACATCATTACCGGTATAAATCAAGTCATCAACGTAGATGCTGACAATTAAAAAATTCTTCTCAACGCCCTTTTTGATAAATAAGGTTTGCTCATTCGGGCATTTTTGAAATCCATTCTGCAAGAAGTGTGCTTCTATACGGCTAAACCAAACTCTTGGTGCTTGTTTTAGACCGTACAAAGCTTTGTGTAATTTGTAAACCATGTGCTCCCTTCCCCTTTTCACATATCCCTTTGGTTGATCTACATAAACCTCTTCATTCAACTCTCCATACAAGAAGGCAGATTTAACATCTAGTTGAAAGATGTCCCACCCTTTGCATGCAGCAAGAGCCACAATCAATCTTACTGTGTCCATCCGTGCAACCGGTGCAAATAATTCAGAGAAATCAATTCCATGTTGTTGTGAATAGCCTTTGACTACTAACCTTGCTTTGTATTTATCAACTTCTCCCATTTCATTTAGCTTTGTTTTATAAATCCACTTCACTCCAATTGTTCTTGCTCCAACCGGTAGATCCGTTAGCTCCCAAGTGTGATTCTTTTCAATTGATTGCATTTCACTGTCCATGGCTTTCCTCCATTTTTCATATTTGATTGCTTCTTCAAACTAAACCGGATCATCATTGATGACATTTTGGACCATGTAGGCGGTTGCCTCTTCTCCTTCTTCTTCTTCACTTAAACCTGCGCCACTGACATAATCTTGCATCCAAGTTGGTTGTAGTCGCTCTCTTCTTGGAACTGCACTGGTTTCACCAACTTCTTCAAGTTCTGTGTTGTCTTCAAGTTGAATTCCATCATTGTGTTGTTGTTGTTCACCGTCGTCACTATGGAGTTCATCATCACTCCACATCAATTCAGTTTCAAGTTGCTCTTTATAATTTGTACCCCAATCCCATCCTTTTTCTTCTTCAAATAGGACATCTTTGCTAACCACAATTCTTTTGACTTTGGGATCAAATAAGCGGTAACCTTTGGATTCATCACTAACACCTAGCATGATACAAGGGAAACTTTTATCATCAAGTTTACCTCGTTTTGCATCTGGTATGTGAACGTGAGCTAGGCATCCCCAAACCCGAAGGTGTTTGATAGAAGGTTTGATCCCACTTCAAGCTTCTTGTGGTGTGATATATTTTACCGCATGTGTGGGACACCGATTCAGCAAATAGAATGCCCAATTAACTGCTTCATGCCAAAAAGTTTTAGGAACCCTCCTTGCGGACAACATACATCATACCATATTCATAACGGTTCTATTTTTGCGTTCCGCTACTCCGTTTTGTTGTGGCGTGTACGCTGAGGTAAGTTGTCGTTTGATACCATTTTCATCACAAAATGATCTGTAAGCAAGGGAATTAAACTCCCCCCTCTATCTGTTCGGAGACACTTGATGAGCGCCCCCGTCTCCTTTTCAACCATGTTTTTATATAACTTGAAATAGTCCAAAGCTTTAGATTTCTCAGACAGTAAATACACCCAACCCTTACGGCTATAGTCATCAATAAGGCTGAATAAATACCTCTTTCCACTGTTAGAGATGGGTTCTATGGGTCCACAGATGTCTGCATGTATGAGCTCTAAGATGGTGCTTGCATGTCATTTGCTTGTTTTAGGAATTGGAGTGCGATGTTGTTTGCCAGTGAAACAATCAGACCATAAAATACCCGTGGAGTCAAGTGTGGGTAGACCAAGCACCATATTATGTGTTTGTAGGGTCTTCAAGCCTTTGTAGTGTAGATGTCCAAACCTTTGATGCCAGAGGTTAGTGGTATCAGTAGTAGTATGCAGGCAATCATCAATGGAAGATGGTGTGGTGCAACCTTCATCAAATAAAATGAACATGCGATTTGAGGTCATGGTTGTTTGAACAATCAGACCTTTGGATTGGTGATAAATACTACATTTTCCATTTTGTATGAGAATGGAAAGTCCTCGTTCCTGCAGCTGCCCAATACTTAACAAATTTTTGTGAAGTTCAGGGACATAATAGACATTTCGTATCAGAAAAGCAGTACCATTAAAAGTTAATCTGACACTTCCTGTGCCAACAACTGTCATTCGAGAGTCATTGCCACATTTGACAAAATGCTTGGCTTCATTAACCAATTCCATGAAAGCATTCCTATCACCACACATGTGATTCGAACACCCGGAATCCAAGAACCATGCAACCTCCTTGTTGATTTGCTCATCGATGGTGGCCATCAGGACCAACTCTTCAGTGTCACCTAGTTCGGCATAATTTGCTTCCTTGTTCCATTGGGGGCATTCATATTGGAAATGACCCAATTTGTGGCACTTGAAACACTCCACGATGGCCTTAGAGAAAGCTTGTCTTCCTCTACCATGTCCACGACCTCAGTTGGGCACTCTCCCTCTGCCTCGTCCTCCATTGCGACTGTTTTCTTATGTTAGTACCTGCTCGTCATGTCAGTTCATTCTTCTGAATTTTTGCTCATGAACCACCAAAGTGCTTTGTAGTTTATCAACAGACATGGTCTCTGTGTCGTGTGATTCTTCAATAGAAACTACTACATAAGTGAAACGATCTGTCAAAGTGCGGAGTATTTTTTCAACCACCTTGGAGTCAGGTATAGTTTCACCGTTGCTACACATCTTATTTGCCACCGTCATTACCCGAACAAAGTATTTTGTGATGGTTTCAGTGTCAATCATTTCAAGCACCTCAAACTCTCGTCTTAATGCGTTGAGCAAGGATTTCTTAACTCATGCATTACCTCCAAACTTGCGCTTTAAAGAATCCCACACAATCTTCGACGTGCTTCTGTCTAAAATTTGCTCAAAGACAGTCCGGTCAATAGCTCGAAAAAGGTAATGCTTTACCTTATGATCATCGAGCCTAGCGTTCTCCAATTGTTCCAACTATTCGTCAGTTAGATCAGCACTCTCATCTGGTTTTTCAACACCAAATTTGACAATATCCCAAAGCCCCTTGGCACGTAGGAGATTCTCCATTAATTCACTCCAATGGTCATAGTGCTGACCATCAAAGTGGGGAATTTTGGTGGAGAATTTTTCACTTTGCATGGTTAGATGTTATTGTTCTCACACGTTCTCACAAAAGCTGCAACTTGTGTATCAGGCCCCGTAGAGCTCTGATACCAGTTTGTAAGTAAATAGAATATAGAATATATTGGTGCAGGAACTCGACACCTATTTCATTAAACTCAGGCTATTATATAGCTAAAACAAAAACAAATAATAGATAATATAGACTGCACACGTTGTGCCTACAAAATAAGAAATATCCCTACATACCAGGAATTTATTAAACTGATATAACAAATAATAAACCCGTTTCAACCTCCATTCCCATGCTTCCATGAACTGCTCTATGATGTTCCTGCCACGCAACAAATTACCAACACTCCTCTTCTACTCGTACAGGTTCAAACACTCATTGGCATAATTAGTTTAAAAGATTAAATATTTTAGGGTTTATTTATTTGATAGTTTTCCTTTTTATGTTTAGTTTGGATTTATGTAGTATTATTTAAAACAATAAAACAAGAGATGATCTGAGAGTAGAGTCAATACAAATGTCTAAAAACATTGGTGAGATTTATCTTAACAGTAATCCTAACGTGTACAATCTTCTAACAATTAATATTTATTACGTAATCCTTTGAAAATTCGTTAAGTTTATTATATTTCATATAAGAATCTCGTTTTCTCTTTTTTATCATTATTTTTTTCTTTAATCTCTTTCTTATTTTTCTTTTATTTCTCTCTTAAATGTGTTCTTACACGTAACCTAAAAAAAATATTAATTAAACTTTGAAAAATATTATTCTTCAATATAATTTAAATATATTCAAAGATTTAATTTAAATAATAATATAATTTAATCTGAATATAAATAAAAATCATACTTTAAATTTTAAAAATTGTAAATAATTTATTTATTTAATTAGAGAACATTTTGATATGATAAACATTATAAATTTAGTCATTACATTTCTTTCTAATATTGTTTAAATACATTAGCGGGGAATGTTAATTTTTCTAACAAGTTCTTGTAGATTTTATTTATTTATAATATTTATTTTCTAAAATTATGCAAATATTATGATTTATTTGATCATACATTAATTTATTAAACGATGTAAAATCAACTTTCAAGTCAAACGTAATTTTTTAAAAATATTTAATTAAATGTAAAATATACTGAAGGATTTATTTTATTTAAAATATGCTTCTTTTATATATTAACTAAATTACATTATTACACAAATTAAATGTATGAATATATTTAAAATTATTTTAAAATATAATAAAAAATAAAAGATTTTGAATTATTTATGAAAAAATAATTAAAGGAAAAAAATAAATTATTATATTAAAAATAATGTTAAGTGTGTTATTATGCAAAAATCACTTCATGTTCTAAGCCTAGTAAAATTAAAAGATGAATTGACGCTCAATTTTTACCAACATCTTATTAACATCTTTAAAATAATTATTTTTTTATGGAGTGAAATAAATGAATAATAATATAAAAAATGTAGAGATATGTAATGTGATTTATATAGCATTGGAAAAACTTTTATTTGAGAGATATGTAACAAGGGTTTAAGAGAACAGTAAGGGTGCCAACAATGTTTAGAATACTAGTTCATGTGGCAGCAGCATTCAAATGAAAAGCTTGTGTTCAGTGGAAGGTGAAGAGAAGATGATGAAGTGAAATATTAACATAAGTATATGCTCTCCATGAGTTGCTCGGGAAGAATTGATAATGGAGGTGCAGCAGAAGATGTGCCTCCACCATGGTTGCCAGAAGCCTTACATTCTTTATCAAACTTCACAAATTTTGTCACCTGTCTAGCCGCCATGCGGGCATAACAAAGGGGAGCAACTGCAATGAATGATAAACAAGAGTAGACCATAATCATACTCATCTTAAACTTTTATATCTATCCAATAAATTATCATTCCTTTAAAAACACAAAACCAGAATCGTCATAGAAATTATGTATACTTCAACCTCTCAGAAGTGGATCCTAAAATAAATTGTGAACAAGTCATAGTTTAGAGAAAACTTTGACACTAGGAAACTAAATACTTAGCATTATGAAAATTTACCTAACGATACAGCAGCTGTGCTCTTTTGATACCTGTGAAGGTTTAGAAAAATCCATCAGTCAGTATAAAATTCGAAAGGGTTGCCAAAAATGTTTGTAGAGGAGATATATATATTGTTCTGTGAATTTAAAAAAAGGCTAATTTAACTTCATGTACTTACATATAAGATAGAGAATGCACTAGTTCCTGCAGTTCATCAGTTGAGAACCCGATTTCATCGTGTAAAACATGGTAGTGAACAGGTCGAGTTGTTCCATGTTGGCGGGTCGTTTCCTGTTGGCAAAGACACGTTCGTGACAGTAGAAAATTAGGAATTGCTAATTTAACTTGAACTCGCGATAAATAAACATTACTTTGATCTTCTCCCTAGCTTGAGCACACAAGTAGAAGTCATTGTTTTTTGGGTCACAGACAGTGCTGTCAATTACGGTTCCTACAGACAACAAAATGTAGTGTCTTAGAAATTTAATCCACAGCAGCATTCACTTTTCTTTTCTTTTTCTGTTGAGGTGACAAACCAACTGGAACATCATAATCTTCATCATTGGCGTTGAAGAACCTAGTATGATGATTCTTTTGGGCTATAATCAAAGTGAACTTTGGGTCCCAGTCTCCATCAAGTAATTTGCATGCCTGAAAATCCAAGTTCAATTCAATTCATAGAATAGTACAATCAGATTTGATATATAAATTGATAAGAATGAACATATATACCTGTATTATTTGATTTAACTCATCATTTAGTACTCGTTTGAACTGTGATTCGCTCACTCCATCCCTAAAATAACACACATCTATATGGGTGAATGCCTAATTAAGATAAATAAAACATTTGGCTCTGATAATTGAAACAAAAAAATTAACTTGACTAATCCTGAAGAATGAACTAGAACATGATTCAGAAAAAAAAAGAACATTGTCAACTAGAAAAAGATTGATAAGATTCACTAAAATGGAATAGAGATACTAGCTAGTTTATAGATATGAAGAAAACAATCTAAAGTACAATAGAAATGATGGTAAAGAAAACATATAAAAGATAAAATAAAATAAAAAGTTTGAAATTTCCGAAACTCTATATAGAAAGAAAGGAATGTTGCACATTAACTTAGGCATTCAATGAAAAGCATACATTTTAAAAAGATGTTTTTCTTGACTGAAATCCAGATTATTGGAATTTAATTTAAATGCACCTGAAAATGATAATTTGTTGAGGCTTTATACTCTTTGAACTTTCGAAAAATTCCAACAGTAGCTCCCTACAAATTCAAAAACACAAGATACAGATTGGTAAGTGACATATAGGAAAGGACAAAGACATACAATTTTAATTAACACAACTTAAAAATTTGCCTTAGGAAAACTCCAATGGCTTTGTTAGAAATGGCACCTGATGATACCCTTGTCCTCTGAAGGATGATCAGCCTCATCAGGCATAAACAAAGATTGAATCAACTGATTTTTTGCTGACTGTGCACGGACAGCAGCTCTATAACGCGTAATTTGAGGCCAACATCTTGAGCTCACAACCTAAGTATACAACATGGGTTCAGGTTTCATTCCACTACATGCGACTAAATATATCAGACCTTAACATGATGCTTATAACTAATATCATACCGCAGCAATGGAGGGCACATTTAATCCAACAGGAGATCCATGAGAAACATGCATACCAAGAATTAGGGTGGGTTTAGCAGAAACAATAGGAATTTTCTTCTCATGCTCCATTGACAGATTGGTATTCACCCCGCCAAACTGCATCAAAGCGATAATTTTTTTATGAACATTTTTTGTAAATATTTTTTATTTTATAAAAAGTTTAGTTACAAGTGTTCTCTTTATAAATAAAAAGTATGTAACGTGGTATATATATTACCTTCAGGTTGATTTTCAAGAGTACATTAGTAATGTACTGATGATCAAATTTTTGTTGTGCACTAATACATTGTGTTACGATCCCGCCATCAATTGAAAATTTCTTTTTCCACGGACCTACAAATTAAAAACAATAGGATTTTACAGTAAGTACAACATCGATATATGTCATTAGAAAAACGTTCACTAACAGAGCAAAAAAAAGTAGCAAACAAAAACAAAACCAGCTGAACTCGTTGATCTTACCGTAAATATCAGAATTCTTTGTTGGAAGAATACACAACAGAAAACTAGGTTTTCCTGGTAGAGTCTTGTCCAACTTTTTATGCATTTGTTCTACCCTCACATGTGCTGGTTGATTTATAAATCTAGAATTCTCTTCAATTACCTTCTCGTGTAGTAAATTCTTCATGTTCTGCAATAGAAAAATACATTTAGAACATCAATGAAGATTACTGCTATTTGAGGAGTGACTTGGATAATTTTGAAGATAAGAAAAAAAAAAAGTCAATTCCATTTCTTTTTTATCTTACCTGACAAAAATAATAATAAAAAAAACATATTATGAGAACAAATTTAATCCAACCATTATTAAGTGCATTTATAAAGATAAAAATTTAATTAAGTTGACATACAATTCTTGTGAAATTAAACTTACCATTCCTAGAGCAGCACTAATATTGTCAATGTTTTCTATCAACAGTGTTGTGTCGCACTCACTTGAAAAGCTTACAACGGCCCATTTATCAATTGTCACAGGGGCAAATAGTTGCTGAAAGAAGATAGATGATACCCAAATTGTTAAAAAAAGTCGCCCTAAACATCATTCAACAACATAAACATTAACATAAGATGAATGTTTAAAAAAACACCTTATCAATAAAATTCCAGCGCCCATGGAGGGGAGTGATGCATCTCTGTTGTCCAACTATAAGCTGCAAAAATATATTTTGGCATTAAAAAGTAAGACGTAAATTCATGCAATAAACAAAACAAAGATAAGAAACTGCCCATTTTCCATAAACTTTTCAAAGAGAACTTGTAAAAAAATATATCAACATAACTTCCAAATTGCTCACTTTAACTTGTAACCTTAAACATGTTTTTGTTTTTAAAAATGTAGTTGTGTATTCTTTTTGTCCTTGTAAAATAAATTTATATTATTTTTGTTTCAGTCCAATTTGTTTTAAAAGAAACCAAAGCCAATTTTTATTCTTTTTTTAGAGAAACTAAAAATCGAACAAAAATTGTTTTAAAACAAGACCATATTATTAAACCTAACTTAGATATAAATTAATTTTAATTTTGTAAAGATACTACAATTTGTCTCGTAAATACAAATTCATATAATATAGGTAAACTTGCCTCTGGAGGTTGCAATACACGACCCTCAAGTCTTGTTATGTTATGATCAATGTTAATCTCAAGAGAGCGAAGCATTAATTCGTTATCATATTCGTTGCTTCTTAAGGACTGCAAAAATATTAACAAGCACATCATACAACATTTTGAGTGTACCAAAAAAATTATTGAAAAAGAGTGTTACTGGGTTACATAAATTTTAAGATTTAAAATCCTCGTACTTTTTCAACCTCAGCTTTCCTGTCTTTGGGACTTTGCCTTGTCTTTTCCACTAGCTGAGCCCTTTGCAAATTTGTCAGTGCCTTGGTGTACCGCTGCAATGGTACCAACTCACACAGCTGCAAAACAAGAATAGAATTATATTATAAAGTTATCCAAAATGGAAAATGATAGGAAAGAAAAACATATTAGAATAAGTTATACGAACCATCTCTTAAAATTTTTAAACTATGTAAATGCTCCTTGATTTTAACACTTCCAATAATCTCCATTATAGTAGTACAAGATGTGATGTTTTTGAGATGCTTAGAGGGGTTAATGTAATGTAAAAAGGATATTTGTGTAATGTTTTCTAAACAATCAAGGAAGATATTATAGAGATAGGAAAATTAAGAGTGTTTATATATAATGTTACACAATTAGAGAGTGATTAATGTAATGTAGTCTACATGGACATGAAAACATAAACAAACACCTTCATCACGTTTGACACTAAATAAGGAGATTAAAAACAGGTTTTAACAGTATATAATTTAGCACCTCTATCGGAAAGTAACACGGGCGTTGTGGTTTGTCAACATTGATGCACGGCATATCAGCTGAACTATGCAGGCCAATCATTTTATTGTTTGTAAAGTAGTCATAAACTGTGATTTCATTCTCCTTTTCTTCACCCTTTTGCTTCAAGAGAAATCTGTGAAGAAAGAAGTCCCACATCGGTGGGAACTTCAATTGGGGGGCTCTCCTCCCTCTTATAAAAGGAGCCCCTCCCTCCTTATTTCAACATCCCAAAATTTCTTTCCTTCTCTAAGTATTAGAAAGTGTTGTCATTCTTAGGACTAGAGAAGGGGTATGTAATTTTTCTTTCTATTATAAAATTTCCACTTTTGTCTATTATTGCTATTCAATTTTTCTCTTCTCTATTTTAGTTGAGTTCTTATGCAAGTAGTCTGATACCTAACAGTGGTATCAGAGCTGCGTTCGAGTCCCGTTGCGCTAGTCACTAGAATAGTGTTGGTAAAATTCTGAGAATGCTATGTGGTTGCAGTTTAATCTGATGTTCCACATCAGAAAGGAGTTGTTACTGGAAAAGGTGTGGTAGAGTGAAAGTACTATTGAGGAAAGTTCTGGCTAGGAAAGACTTGGTACTTAAGCGTGTCCATTAGTGACCCACCTCTCTTTCCTGGGAACCTACTTGGTGTATTGGTTCACGGTTTACTATTATTGTTCCAGTAGACAATACTATTCATAAGTGAGAGTTGCATAAGTGGAAACACAACCATAGCAGCAAAGTATGAGATAGAGAAGTTTAACGGGAACAATTTCTCGTTATGGAAATTGAAGATGAAGGCAATTTTAAGAAAGGACAATTGTCTTGATGCAATTGAAGGAAGATCCGCAAAAATGACGGATCAGAAGTGGAAGGAAATTGACAGCAACGCTATTGCAAATTTACATTTGGCAATGGCAGACTCAGTTCTATCCAGTGTTGCGGAGAAAGATTCTGCAAAGGAGATTTGGGATGCCCTCATTAAATTATATGAGGTGAAGTCACTTCACACAAGGATATTCCTGAAGAGGAAACTCTATACTCTTCGGATGAGTGAGTCCACATCGGTGACGGACCACATCAACCAACTGAACACCTTGTTTGCCCAATTAGCGACAGCAAATTTCAACATAATTGAGAATGAGTGTGCGAGCTTTTACTTGAGCTTGCCGGACTCGTATGATCAACTCATTATCAACATTACAAATAATAATATTGAAGGACAACTACACTTTGACGATGTTGCTGGAGCTATTCTAGAAGAAGAATCCAGGCGAATGAATAAGGTAGAAAGTTCTAAACAAGCGAAGTTTTGACGATGATGAGAGGAAGATCAACAAAACATGGCTCAAGTGGGAGTCAAGATCATGGCGAGATCGAGCTCTCGAAACAAGAAGACTTTCAAATTTAAATGTTACTACTTGTGGCAAGAAAGGGCACACGAAGAAAGAGTGTTGGAAGAGGAAGAATGAAGAATCAACCTCACGGGGTTGCGTTGCGAGTACTTCGAGAGGAAGGAGTAATTCGGTAGCGAAGCGGCAATCGGCTCTAATGGCGGAAACGAATTTCATGACAAGTGGATAATGGATTCGAGTGCAACTTGGCACATGACCCCACACCGAGATTGGTTTCAAACCTACGAGCCTATCTCGGGTGGATCCGTGTTCATGGGAAATGACCATGCATTAGAGATTCTTGGAGTTGGTACTGTCAAATTAAAAATGTATGACGATACTATTCGTACAATCCAAGAAGTACGACATGTGAAGGACTTGAAGAAAAATATATTGTCTATAGGGCAATTGGATGACCTCGACTGCAAGATCCATGTTGAAGGAGGAATCTTAAAGGCGAGTGAGGGGAAACATAGTTGTCATGAAAGCGAGAGAAAATCATGGCAAACTTGTATGTGCTTATGGGAGACACCTTGCAAGAAAATCATGCAACAAGCTGCGTCAACAAGCCAAGAAGAAGCGGCGGTAACATGGCACCGTAGACTTGGACATATGTCGGAGCGAGGTCTGCAGATTCTTGCGGAACGTGATCTCATACTTGGGCTCAAGAAGGTCGATTTACCCTTCGTGAGCATTGTGTGACAAGCAAACAACACGGGTTGAAGTTTGCAAGAACCACCACAAGGAGTAAGCAAACTTTGGACTTGATCCATTCGATGTCCGGGAATCGCCGGAATTATCTCTTGGAGGAGCAAAATATTTTGTGTCGTTCATCGATGACTACTCGAGGAGATTATGGGTATACCCTATCAAGAAGAAGTCCGAAGTATTTGCGCGGTTCAAAGACTTCAAAGCACAAGTAGAACTTGAGACCGGAAGGAGAATCAAGTGTTTGAGGACGGACAATGGAGGAGAATATGTAGATGGAGATTTTCTAGCATTACGCAAGCAAGAAGGAATTGTGAGACAATTTTACGTTCCACACACGCCTCGGCAGAATGGTGTAGCGGAGCGGATGAATAGAACTCTTCTAGAGAGAACCGGAGCTATGCTGCAAACTGCGAGCATAACAAAATCTTTTTGGGCGAAGTCGTGAATACTGCCTGTTACTTGATAAATCGGTCTCCATCAACGACAATTGGGTTGAAAACTCCTATGGAAATGTGGAGTGGAAAATCAACCGATTATTCTTCCTTACATGTGTTCGGTTGTCCCGCGTACGTGATGTACAACACCCAAGAAAGGACGAAGTTGGATCCAAAATCCAGGAAATGCATCTTCTTGGGATATGCTTGACAATGTGAAGGGGTATCGCTTGTGGGATCCCACTGCCCACAAAGTTATTGTTAGCAGAGATGTCGTCTTTGCGAGAAAATGAGCTGCAAAGCAAGCGGATAAATGACGACTCGGAAAAGGACAAGACTATAGTACGAGATAGAGAAGAAGACTTCGGAACATTCCTCCGAGTCGGAGGAGGAGCATGAAGAACATGAGCCAAATGAGGTGGAAGAAGGAGAACTCCGACGATCAACAAGAGAAAGAGTCGAGACCATCTTGGCATTCACAATATGTGATGGCAAGTCATGATGCGTATTGTCTCCTAAGTGAAGAAGGAGAACCTTCAACTTTTCAAGAGGCCGTGAGTGGTTCGAAGCTCCTCTATGGATGGTCTGCTATGGAAGAAGAAATTGAAGCTCTTTATAAAAACAAGACATGGCATCTTGTGGAACTTCCAAAAGGTCGCAGAGCCATTGGTTGCAAATGGGTCTATAAGATCAAGAGAGATGCCAATGATCAAGTGGAAAGATATCGTGCTAGGCTGGTGGTAAAAGGATATGCTCGGAAAGAAGGCATTGATTTCAAGGAGATATTCTCACCGGTTGTTAGATTGACAACAATCGGAATTGTCCTGGCGATGTGTCTTGCATTTGATTTACATCTTGAGCAATTGGATGTAAAAGCTGCTTTTCTTCATGGAGAACTTGAAGAGGAAATATATATGCTCCAACCAGAAGGCTTCAAAGAGCAAGAAAACTTGGTTTGCGGGTTGAACAAATCTCTATACGGTCTAAAGCGAGCGCCAAGGTGTTGGTATAAGAGATTTGATTCCTTCATTATTAGCCTCGGATACTACGGACTAAGTTCGGACCATTGTACTTACCACAATAGGTTTGAAGAAAATGATTTCATCATATTGTTGTTGTATGTGGATGACATGTTGGTGGTAGGCCCTAACAAAGCTCGAATCCAAGAATTGAAGGCACAATTGGCTAGGGAGTTTGATATGAAGGACTTGGGACCAGCAAACAAGATTTTAGGGATGCAAATTCACCGAGACAGAAAAGATAGGAAGATTTGGCTTTCTCAAAAGAATTATTTACTTAAGATCTTGCGGCGCTTCAACATGCAAGATTGCAAGTCAATTTCTACCCCACTTCCGTCAACTGTAAGTTATCCTCAAGTATGAGTCCTAGCGGTGAAGCGGAGAGGATTGAAATGTCTCGAGTACCGTATGCATCGGCGAGTGGGAAGTCTTATGTATGCCATGATTTGTACAAGACCGGACATTGCACAAGCGAGTGGGAGTGGTTAGTAGATTCATGGGGAATCCTGGTGGAGAGCATTGGCAAAATGTGAAGAGGATCCTTAGGTATATAAAAGGAACCTCAAATGTTGCATTATGTTATGGAGGATCGAAGCGGTTGTTAGAGGCTATGTTGATTCGGATTTTGCGGGTGATCTGGATAAAAGGAAGTCTATTACTTGGTTATGTGTTTACCATCAATGGAGGGGCAGTAAGTTGGTTATCCAAGTTACAAGATGTGGTAGCTCTGTCTACTACGGAAGCTGAATACATGGTCGTCACCCAAGCATGTAAAGAAGCTATCTGGATTAAAAGAATAATGGGGGAACTTGGTCACAAGCAACAACAAATTGTTGTGTACTTGTGATAGTCAAAGTGCCTTACACATTACAAGGAATCCGACCTTTCATTCGAGGACAAAACACATAGGAATAAGATATCATTTTGTTCGAGAAGTAGTAGAAGAGGGAAGTGTAGATTTACGAGAAGATCCACACTGAGAAGAACCTAGCGAGATGTAATGACAAAGCCTAGGTTAATGTCGACAAGTTTATACGGAGTCGATCCCTCTATGGCCTATCAAAAGCATAAGCAACATGGATGTGAGAGAAGAAGACATAGTGTGAAGATTTGATTAATTTCATCAAAATCTTCAAGTGGGAGATTGTGAAGAAAGAAGTCCCACATCGGTGGGAACTTCAATTGGGGGGCTCTCCTCCCTCTTATAAAAGGAGTCCCTCCCTCCTTATTTCAACATCCCAAAATTTCTTTCCTTCTCTAAGTATTAGAAAGTGTTGTCATTCTTAGGACTAGAGAAGGGGTATGTAATTTTTCTTTCTATTATAAAATTTCCACTTTTGTCTATTATTGCTATTCAATTTTTCTCTTCTCTATTTTAGTTGAGTTCTTGTGCAAGTAGTCTGATACCTAACAAAATCTGCAATAAATAGATAAGCCCCATCATTTTGCATTGTATAAGGTAAAATGTGCTAATGTATCAAAATTAAGCTCATTCTAATAGAGTGAGTAAATGGAGAAAGCACAAGAAAAGCATACTTCTGATTCCTGCAGGTTTTGTCACTCAGTCCAGTGATTTTGTATTCAACACCATTAACCTTGATTCTAAGGTTCTTAAGCAATCTTTTTTGCCTGAACAAAAATAATCATACATTTAACAGCCACAGTTTCATAGTACATGTATGTATGAAACCTCTACTACTAGATATAAAGGCAATAATATAACCTTTGTCCAGTTAATGTTTTTAATGTTCCCAACATTCTGATTCTGGAGAAGGAAGTCCACCACAGGTCCAGGCTTTACAATCATAGTATTCGAAACATCTTTAAAGAAGAACATCGAAAGTAAACAACCATTCATAATAAAAGTAGCATAAATTTCCAGGCATTCCTCTTAAGAATCTTACCAACGTTGAGAGATAATCCTCGTTGTGTGGATCGAAAGCTCGAGCGGAAACCACCGCAGGCTAGCACACCACCACCAATATCCATACAATTTATCTCATTGCTTTGAAAGAAGGAATGGCGAACAAAGAGGCATCCCCTGAAAGGAAAACAGCCAGAGGAGTAATACTATTTAACCTTTCGAGTTAGAGAAATGAAAACAACTGGATCTATAACGTTCATTTTTATAATACGCACTTAATCATTATCGGTTAACATTTATTAAACTCTATAAAACATTGAGTGAAACTCGTATTTTGTTTTGACATACCTTTCTGCATCATGCTGTCTTAGCACCATGTTTAGAACCCTCAGTGCTTCTTGAAACTTCCCAGAATTCTGACCACTCAATGCATTTGCAATTTCCTGCAATGGAATTTTGGCTACATAGTTGATATCCACAGTGATAACTTTCAACCGAGATCGTGGTATTGTTGCAGCATGCTGTCTCTGAATGTTGTTTGGAACATCATGTGCTTCCGAAGAGTTTCCAGAAGCCTGATCATCCATTGTATTCTCAATAGCTCGCAACGGAATTGTGGTCTCGTAGTTGATATCCGAATTGTGAATTTTTATATTTCCTCCATTAAGACGCTTATCGGGGCTTCCAACCCTGAAAAACAAATAATGATCTTCTGATAAATGCAACACAAAGAACTCGGTATTGTACACACATAATCACAGTACTATTATGATGACAACATGGCTTTTCTTGTTTACCTCCTTGATAAAGTTTGCTTTAACTCAACAGTATATTGTTGCTTCTCACATGGTAGAGGATGAAGAGTGAATAAACTTTGGTCACCGTCATATGCAAAACTAAACTCTGCCAGTTCAGTACATGTTCTCCAAACCTCATCTAGGACTTTTCTCCCTATGCCCTTGGCTTGAACTGATTTCCCATCTTCATTACGCAAGGCAACCTAACCAAACAACTTGCTTAATTGTTTATCATGTTAAATCAGGAAGCATTAATATATGGATATGCTTCACATGCACATGCACATGCAAACACACACAAAAGATATGGTAAAAGGAAAGAAGAAAGGGGAAAAACACATCATAATGGAAGAAGTAGCCTTTGTTCCTCCCCATATCAAGTCTAAAATGGTTAGCAAGAAGCTCTATGCTCTTTCCCGTAGATCCAGTTCCTCTCCTCGCCATAGGCAAACGTTTAAAGGCATCCATTTCTCAAATCCTGCTAAAAGGGAAGACAGGAAATGATATTATTAAAATTCTTGTTATGCAAATTAATTTAGGTTCCAGTTGATATCCGCATACTATCACTTGTCTTACACACAATGATTCACCTACTCTGCTTCTAACAGAAACAGTCTTAAGTAATAACATAGAAAATCACCACACTGGAGAGGCTGTTAATTTCATGTCTAAGGTATATTCATTAAATAACATAAAATTCTAAAACAAGATATTAAATAATATAGAAATAAATGCACAAACTGCATTTTCCTAATAACATATCAATTGCCACAGGAAACAAAAGGCATTGCCGTGGTCCTGTCCAAGCAAATTGAATTTGAGAGCATCTTCAATAATTAATTAGTAAAATATAAAAAGGACCTAGAGGCAGAACTGAAGAATCAATTAAAAATAAAATAATTTGTACGGAATCATTAACATCGAGAAAATCAAATCAAATATTCTAAAATAAGAAACTCTTTATTTGTTACAATCGCTAATTAAGAAACGAATGAAAATCTACGCAAGAAAAAGAAACTAATAGATTGATTAAAGATGTATCCGAAAAACTATGATTCAACAAGTTAAAACCATTCTCAAGTAAAAATAATATCTATGTTTATGTTGTTCATCAGAGGAGAAGAGTAATACAAAGGAAACAAAAATAGTATGAACGAAAATCAGAGCAAAACAATTCGGAAATAAGAAAAGGAAAGAAGCAATAGAAGAACTACGGTTGAAGTGCAGAGTATGAAACAGAAATGAAACACACTGTGACGAGTGAGTGTTAGTGTCTCTCTCTTTCAATCTTACAAAACAAGAGTAATTGAAGTGCAGAGAGAATGAATGAAGAATTAGAGTTGAAATTTCATAACTCTTCAACTTACAAGAGTGTTGATCGAAAAGACAACGAAACAGAAACGGAAACAGAAAAGAGAAAGCAAGTGGAGTGTAGTGTGTGAGTGAGAGTAGGGTCTCAAGGGTCTCAATATATATAGTGTCGTGTGCGTGTGTTTGTGAGGGACTCTTTTTTTCTCGTGTCGTTTGTATCCAATGCCATGACGCTTCATTTACCTTCCAACCAATCATGAGGTGCCACTTAATTTATATTTTTCTAATAATGTTTTAACGATTTTATTTTAATTAATTAAATTATTTCTTGAATATTAGATATTACATTCTCTACTTTTTCGCTACCTTTAGAAATTCCAGAAAAGTTAAATTAACAATTTAGATAAAATTAATAAATTTAAATTCATTTGTAGTTTTTATAAAATAAACAACGTTTTACTTGAGAGATAAAATTATTTTGTTTTTATCACGTTTATGTTTCACGGCCCGTTTAAATGCGTCCTTGAGCTTTTGATAATAAATAAAAAGTTAAATAAATTTATTCAGCATTAATAATTATAGTAAATATTATTATTTATTATACAATAATAATGAATATAATATAATTAATTTCCTTTTTATGTAATTTGAATTTTAATAAAATATTTAAAATATAATTGATTATGATTTTTTTTCTACATAAGCAAATTAACATGGAAAAGTGTTCTACATCTCTTCTTCTCAAGGAAAGAATGTTGACACATTGATACTGATAAAATAATCCTATTTATTAATATTATATTTATAAAATATTAATTTAAAATAAAAAATTATTATTTTATTAATAAATGAATAGATATTTCTTGAAATTAGGTTGTATGAATCTTTTTTCTCATGAAAACTATTGACACATTTATTGGGATTTACGCTTTTTTATGCAAAAGAAAAAGCTAAAGATGTTTTGAAAACTTACATTTAAACAAATATCACGGTCAACAATCATTTATTTGTATTTCTAATCATATATTTACTTATTATATATTATTATTATTATTATTATTATTATTATTTTAATATAAATGAATTGTCTAAAGAATGTATTTTTTTATCGACAAGATATCATTGCTGAAAAAAATATTCAAACTATTATTACATTTATTAAACAATTCATCTCATCTTTATGTATATTAAACAACTAAACATATTAATATAATAATAATAATAATAATATTTAATATAATATTAATATTTGTATTGTATTTAGATATTTGGGGGTATCATCATATCACCTATGTAAAATCATTAGAGGAATGATCAATTTACACCAATTCATCTTGACAAGTAAAAGTGCATCTCATTTATTATTATATTAATATATTTAATTATATATGAGACAAAATTGATTGGGAAAGAAACATGTTCCAAATCATTAAACAAGAATTGTAAACCAAACATTATGATACTCTATGCAAAATTAATCAATAATCTCTACCAAAGAAGATCCAGGAGCAAAAACACAAGTACAACAAACGGAACATATTGTGTTACTAAAGTGAAATTTTATTTTGACAGCACACTTAAGCAAACATTCATCATCCAAAAATTTCATTTTCAATTATATATCTTAATATGAGTGATAATATTTTCACACCACTAAAAACATAATCATCAATAATTTATTCATTATTATTTTTTATTTTTTCTCTTCGTGATCAACCAAAATATTATTATTTTAATATCATAAGTGAACGTGAAAATATCTCTTTCGTTATATGTATTAACCTGGTAGGTATGTAGCATATTCTCTATGAGAATCACCATACCTACCTCAGAGGGTAGACCTTATAAACATAGCACTACTCCTTTGAGGTTGATTTTGGTGGCTAAGCATGGCATTAAACTCTTTGGCAAACCTCTCCATGGCTTCAGCAGGTAACCAAATCGGAAATACTATGCATTCTTCTCCTTTTTCATTCTTAACCGGATTGAAAAACGTTACTGCTGGAAACTCCCCTGCTCCACCTTGGGCCACTCCACCATACACAGCCTCACCCCAACCAAAGTCCACTTCTCTAAGCTTCGCACGACTCAAATCTGATACAATACAAGACCCTACAGTTGTGAATAAGCATCGTCCCTTCGTCACCATCAAATCTGCCACAGAATGCATGTACTCTTCTGTCACCTCACCTTTCACTTTATTTATCAACTCCACCGCATACCCAAATGGATTTCCGCAAAGCTTCCCTGCTTTGGTGATCGCCGCCGGATATGCAAAACCATTGCCGTAGTAACCAACAGGTAAAGGAGGATTGAACCTAGCACGTGCGTTCACTATCACCATCATGCGAACATCCTCATCTGCTTCTATCCGCAATGCTTTTGTGCGACAGCGCCAGAAGCATGCTGTGATCATATCAAATGTGGAGCAATGCTGAAGGTGTTGGGGAATCAAGCCGCGAAGTGCAGCTATATCGACAGGACCAAAGAAGAATGATCGGTGAACCAAGTTTTGGTTGGAAGAAGTGAGGGTATCTTGGATTTGCTCATATTCATGATGCTTGCATGTTATGCGAGGTGGATCTCTTGCCATCAGAAGCTCCCTACGCCACACTGGTGCAATCGAAGGTTTGCTTGCACCTCGAGCCATCTCGGCCCAAGCGTTCAGGAATAGTGAAAGACCATGTCCATCACTCATGGTGTGGTTCAGGCGGATGGCTAATATGAAACCACCGCACTTGAGTCGTGTGACCTGCATTTTCATTCCGACAACCTCAATAAATTCACAAATTCAAAAAAAATATCAGGGACCTTCACAAATTTTGAGCAGTCCCGTCAAGAAAAGAAGAAGTGACATAAATATTTTTCTATTTTGCTTCTCTTATATTTTGTAACTTTCTTATAAAAAGTAAAAATATATATTTCTTTTAAAAACATATTAAACCAACTCACAATAATAATCCTAATTTTCCCAACAGTTTTTAAAATTAAAAAAAAAATGAATCAAACATGTACTGCGATTGAACCTGTACGAGTAGAAGAGGAGTGTTGGTAAGTTGTTGTGTGGCAGGAACATCATAGAGCAGTTCATGGAAGCAGGGGAATGGAGGTTGGAGGAAATCGCCGAATTGATCAAGTGTAACGTCAGCATGAGCCTGGATGAACATGACACCCTCTCCGGTACAATCCACCATCAACTTACGGTGAGGCCCCTCCCTCAGCCTCCCTGCAAATGGGTAATAGAAGACAAGTGTTTGTGACAGTGCTTGCCGAAGCACTTCAACCGGGTCTCTCTCTCCCATTGATGCTTGCTTTCTATAGATTTGTATGAGTGGAACATGGAAACGCAGGCCAAGTTGATCATCTATGTCGGAAAGTAGCTTGATTTCGTGAGGAGTGGGGAGAGCAGGAGGCACAAGCTCAGGCTCGCATCTGCGTACTGTAAACGTTAGAGAGGAAGATGGTGATGGAGAGGCCATGATAATTATCAGACATCACAACGTAAATATTTAAGCTATGGCTTTTGGCTGAGTAAGAATGAGTCAGTGCAGCTGAGGCTGCTTGTATTTATAAATGGAATATGGTGTCATAAAATAAATTGAAAACACGTTTTTGTATAATGACATAATCCATGGACGATAACCCTTCTTGTTTTGAGAAATATTAAATATATTTCAACAATAAAAAAAGTTTTTTATTTTAACATCCTCTTAACACTATGAAATATTATAACAAATATTTATATAATAGATTATCCTCAAATTATAGATTAACAAAGTAGAGTATTTGACGAAGTTTTCCAGATGAAACTTGCAAAACTTGGATACAAATATGTCTTTTATTGATTATTTATATGCATTCCAAAATGTTGAAATTGAGACATATTTACTGTACTGTATAACTCTTTCCGAAATTATCACAAAGAAGATGGTCTCGTATCAATGCAATCTCGGAGATATTCAAAGTTAATATAATAAAAAACAATAATCGAAAACCGATAAAAAGCTAAAAATCAATCAAAACTACATTTTCTTTAATTTTTTTTTTAATTTACCCTTTCGTAAACCAGGTTTAGGTATAGAATTAAGAATAAAAAACCATACTATATTGTTTAAATATAATGTCAAATGCGTAGAAATAATTACCAACTAACAAGCATCATAAATATGTTTTTTATGATTATTTTATAATTTCATAGTATATTATTTCAGGTTTAGTATTTTATTTACAATATATTTATAGTTATCAAAGCATAATAACAATTTTATATTAATTGTAATTTAACTATATATATGCAACCTACTTATAAATATGATAAAAATTAAAAAAATCATATGTAGTTCTATTTGACAACTTTTAATTATAAAATATAAAACATTGTATTTGTAAACAATAACATTTATAAAAAAAATTATTTCAAACAATTAACGTACGCAGAATAATATTTTACATTATTTTCATATTTCATTAACAAAATTGTAGAAACTCTTTAATATCATTCTTATATTTGTTATTTCAAATTGAATTCATTCAATCCCCATTCTTATACTTCTTGATCATCATCTTAGGTTGTCTTATTTTTTAAAATTTTAATAACATTTTACAATAATCTCAAAATACACTATATAAAAAAATTGAGATAAAACTCATAACAACAATAAAATATGTGACCAAAACATAAACATGAAATTTAATAAATTTTACGATAACAATTACATTAAAAATGTATATAATTTGAACTATACAACATCACCGCCATACATCCTACATTGAGAAACAAATTTAGACCATATTCAATGGCTCAACGTTACCTCAAATCTACTAAAATAACTTCCTTATTTTAGTGGTTATTGACATGCTTCACGTTTTTTTTTTTATGTCCAGTACATTCAAGAAAATATCTGCTGTTGTTGGTTGTGATTGCTGTGTGGTTGTTATGGAGTCCTCATTTAATACACAAAAATCTTATTCATATAATTTTGAAATTAATTAAAGTGAAAAACGAACTTGGGTACCCAATCACTAGTGCAGAATAGGCCTTTTACGTCACCCAATTGTCGTCGCATGCATGAATATTCGACGTAAATAAAACGCGGTGGCAATTTTGTAAATATGGGACAAAACTTTTACTTCGCACATCCCAGTATGCGACGTAAAAAGCCTCTTTTACGTCGCACCTGGGAGGCGCGACATAAAAGATGGACTTTTACGTCGCGTACTGGGGGGCGCGACGTAAAAAGCCTTAGCTTTACAGAAATTTATTTACGTTACCCAATTACTTTTAACATTAGTTAAGTTTATTTAACTTTATTTATGTTGCATGCTTACAAGAGTCAAATTCATGTTTCAGGTATTTCAAGATCAATCTCCATTACCAGAATCTGAGATTACAAAAATTAGAGAACAATGGGCAAAATTTTTTGTTCAACAATTCTAGTACATTATTTTTTAAGTTCTTGTTCATATTATATTGTGTGTATTATGTAGTTTAGTTTAGTTTGTATAGGTAGCTTAGTTTGTATAGGTAGCTTAGTTTATATAGGTAGCTTAGTTTGTAATAGATTTTTTAGTTTGTATGTTTGTATTATATTATTTTATTATGTAGTTTGAATTATATAATATTATATTTTTAATTTACTAGCTAAAGAAAACTGAATCTCCTGATCGTTCTGGTTGTAATATTGGCAGTGTTTTAGTTGTAGAAACGTAATAAATAAACTCAATTTAAAAAAAATAGTAAATTTACGTCGCATATTGGTGTATGCGACGTAAATTTACTGTTTTTTTTTAATTTAAAAGGTTTTTACGTCTGTTTAGTGTAAATCTACGTCGGATCTTGATAATCGACGTAAATTTACGTCGAGCAAAGGGTCCGACGTAAATTTACGCTCTCCGCTTTAACGTCAGACTTAAATACAATGTAAAAAGCCCTAAATACTTGACGTAAAAGCCCCTTTTTGCACTAGTGAATGAAGCAAAGAGGATGTTGTTTTAGTCCTTCTCTTATAGCACTCTTCTTGACCATTGAATTTATATCTAATAATACTTTTTTAAAATGAGAGTAAAAACAAATGTTTATATAAAACATTTATGAATGGTTGATATACATCAGTACAAAGATGGACCCAGAGTGTCAAAGTGCCCACACGATAAGAAAACACTGGTGGTGGTCAACCATATGAATGTCTCCTTACAAATTTTGCATTTTTCCTCTCAGATGGTAAAGTTTCTAAAATATAAACATTAGAATTTAATTGAAAATTTAAAATATTAAAAAAGTTGGTTTAGTTAATGTAATATAAAAATGATTGTTGATATTTATTTTACGAGGAAATGATGGTGGGAATGTTTGGATAGGGTTAACAAAATTATGGGAGTGATTTTTAGAAGAGTGATAAATGGAGGGTTGAGAGGAACACGTGTCTATAGCAGATACAGAATGCTCACATCACATGTACCAAATCATAAATATGAACCCATGTGTTCACAGCTGGTGTTGTGCTCATTTTGAATTCATGCGGTGTGGCCCTCGTTTTTTTTCTCGTGCTAAATTTTGAACCTATGTCTGGTTGTTGTTGTTGTGCTAATTTTTGACATGTGTCGGATTTCTTTTAAGACGGTTTTTCTTTTAGAATTAAAAAAAAATACAATTTAAAAAACATAATTATTATAATTTATATATTTTGAAAAAATTAATTATACAATAGACACGTATACATTTTAGTGTATATGTTTTTCACTTGTCTATCATTTATAATATAATATTATTTTTTATTTAATACATAAAAATAATATAAAAATAAAAATTAATTATTATAATTTCTATATTTAAAAAATAAAAAAAAACTAATATATTAAATAAAAAAATAGATAATAAAAAAACAAAATATAATTTTCAAAAGTTAATTATAAAAATATAGATTTTCTTTTATTTATTTTCTACTTTCACTTTTTAAATATATTCATTTTGTTTTCTTTATTTTTATCTCTTGTTCATACTTTTTATTATTTTTTAAATACATACATCATAATAAAAATTATTTTTTTAATTTTAATATTTTTATTTTTTTCTCTCCAATAATAAAAAAGAATAATTTAAAAATATTCTTTATATATAATTATTAATAATAAATAATAAATAAATTTATTTTTAACTTTTTTATTTTTCTCTCATTTCTTATTTTTATTAATAACTTTATTTTTATTTTTATTTTTATTTTTTTTCTCTCTCAAGTTCTACATTTCAAAAGACTTAAAAAATACATACAAATCATTTTACACTTATTATATGAGTTAATTGATGTGATTTGATTAATTAACATAATCATTTATTTAATACTCTTTTATTTTGTAGTATATTTTATTCATCTCTTACATTAAAAAAAAATTATACACAAAATGTTTTAGTGAATATATATTTTACTATGAATAAATATTTTTCATATAATAATAACTATTATAAATATTTATTTTATTATTTTTTATTTTTATAAATAAATAATTATCTATTTTTAATTATTCTAATAAAAAATGTTATATTTATATTATATGGAACATTAAAATATATGTTTATGATTATGAATTTAAGTTTCATGTAGGAAATAAAATTAAGGTTTTTATATTATTTAAAAAATTAATAGCAAAAAATAAATTATAAAAAAAATGTTGAAAAATTAATTTGACAAAATATATTCCTATATTATGAATAGTAAAATATGCATAAAAATTATTATGATTAAAATGAATGAAATAAAATAAGAAAAATAGTAATTTTTTATTGTGATAAATAAAATTTAATAGAATAATATATATATATATATATATATATATATATATGGATAAAATATTCGAATTGTAGAAAATAAATATTTGTCTAGATAAATTTTTTTAATTATGTTAAAAATAAATATTTTTATGAAAAAATATATTTTTTTATAATAAATACAGTTACATTATAGAATCTGTTGAAATCGAATAAAACTATCAATTGTAATGATTATAATAAAAATAATAAAATTTATATTAAATAATTATACCAAATATTAAAGTCAAATGCTATTTTTTTTATTAAAAATAACATAGTGTTTCTTAAATTAGTTAAATTTCCTTCTTTAATCCCATGTAACTAACAAAGGATAGCAAAGTTTTCTCTCACAATATATTAACTTTTGTTTATTTCATAAAAATATTACATATTAAAATTAAATATATATATATATATATATATATATATATTAAAACTCTAATTACATTTTAAATTTATTAAATAAACCTCAACCCAAATAATTGTTTAAAAAATGATTAACAAAATTTAAACCATGAATCCTAAGGACGTATTAAACCCTAATGCTTTTAAACAATATTGAAACTCTAATAAACCTTTTTAAACAACTTTAAAAAAAATATTAAAATTGTAATAACATTTTAAAATTATTAAAAAATCTAAACCGACCAAATATTTTTAAAAATATTATTAAAATTAAACCCAACAAAAAATTTCAAAAAAATTAGTAAAAACCATTAACCAAACAAAAAATATAAAAATTGTTATTATAACTCTCATCATAATGTCAACCATACATCAGTATATAAAATTTTGGTCTCGTTTAGATAAGTTTATTTTTATTTTTTAAAATATAAAATGTTTTACTTCAATTTAAAGTGGTGGATTAATTTTCGAATCTGCCTAACGAATAATACTGGCATAGAAAAGAAAAACTAAGATATGTGATTAAGAATAATTAATTAGATTTCCTTTTTGAAGGTGAAAATATAATGAATAAAGAGTATATGATAGAGAACGCATCATTAGTTTTTCAAGTTTAGAGGAGAGACACACTATGTTGAGTCCCATTATCTCTTCTCATTTATGTGCAAATTATACTAAGAAAATACAAAGAGTTCCAGAATAAATCTAGAAGGTAGACCTGATAGAACCAGGAACAGTTCTTGTAGGTTGGTTTTGGTTTCCATTAAGCAAATCATCCATCTCTTTCACAAACCTGGGCATAGCTTTTGCGGGCAACCAAACTGGTAATACCAAACCATCTTCTCCTTTTGCATTCCTATACGAGGTAATGTTTGTTCCTCCGTAAAAGGGTCCAGTGCTACCTTTCGCTGGTCCAGCAGACACAGCCTTGCCCCATCCAAAATCAACGTCTCTAAACCTCGCACGTGTTAGGTCTGACACCAGAGAAGATCTTACAGTTGTGGGCATGCACCGTCCCTTGAGCACCATTAGATCCGCCACGGAATGCATATACTCCTCTGTCACCTCACCCTTCACATTATGTATCAACTCCACCGCATAAGCAAATGGATTTGTGCAAAGCTTCCCTGCGGTGGTGACTGCAGCGGGGTATGCAAAAGCGTTGCCGTAGTAACCAACGGGTAACGGAGGATTGAACTTATTACGCGCGTTCACGATGCACATCATGCGAACATCCTCATCTGCGTCTGTTTGCAGTGCTTTTGTGCGGCAACGCCATAAGCATGCTGTGATGAGATCGAATGCGGTGCTGTGTCGAAGGTGATGGGGAAGCAAGCGGCGAAGGGCAGCCATGTGAGCAGGTGCAAAGAAAAATGATCGATGAACCAAGTTGTGGTTGGAAGAAGAAAGGGTGTCTTGGATTGGAACGTATTCACGATGGTTGCACGTAATGCGAGGTGGATCTCTTGCCATTAGGAGCTCCCTACGCCAGAGAGGTGCAATGGAAGGAGTTTTTATACCTCTTGCTATTTCACCCCAGGCGTGCATGAACTGTGACAAACCACTTCCGTCTGCCATCACGTGGTTCCAACCAGTCGACACGATGAAACCACCACACTTGAGTCGTGTCACCTGTCACTCGTTTATAACTTCGTGTTAGAGAATTCTATGCCAGGATTTCACGTTAGAGAATATTTGGTAATGCAATTTGCCATTGTTTTCAAAACGTTGGTGTGGTTTGCTGTGTTGTGTGCATGAGTTTTTTTCTCTAAAAGAGTGGATGATAAGTGAATTGTGAAGTATATTAGTAGGACCTGGATGAGTAGAAGGGGCAATTTTATAAATTCTTCAGAGTCTAGAACATCACATTGGAACGCTTGAGAATACATGAATGGAGGTTGGAGATTGTCACCAAATTGATCGAGTGTTACGTCAGCGTCAGCCTCAACGAACATGACACCCTCTCCAGTACAATCGACCATCAATTTGCTGCCACGACTCTCCCTAAGCCTACCCGCAAATGGGTAATAGAAGACAAGTGCTTGTGCCAGTGCCTGGCGAATCACTCTCACTGGGTCTTTATTCGCCATTGATGATTCATTTCGATAGATTTTTATGATTGTATAATGGCAACGCAGGTACCTTTGATCATCTATATCAGATAGTAGTTTAGTTTCGTCAGGAGTAGGTAATGCAGGAGCCACTAGCTCAGGTTCGCACTTATGCATTGCAAATGATAGAGAGGGAGACGTTGAAGCCATGTTATTCATCTGAGGATGAGATCAATTGCTCATTAGGAAAGAGCAATTAGGGTTATTATATTAATGATGTGTTTTGAATAAGTCAGTGTGAGTTTGGTTAAACTTTTTCCGTCCACATTTGTCCAAGATTTACGTAAACAGAAAAAAAAAACATGAAAAGACCTGTCTGTTAATTTAGTGGAGCATATACAAGCTTTAATACGACTGTGGATCCAAACACATGGTCAATGGTGCAAGAACTATGCTGGACTTTGTAAAGGCTTGCATTTATACGAACATATATTTGAAAGGAAAAAGATTGATTGAGACCCCAAAATTTATGTACATTCCTGATAAATAATTTTTTTTCTTGATTTATATAGTGAATTTGATGTGAAATACTCGATCATTATATAAAATTCTAAATAAGGGGTATTATAAGAATATTAGATCAATTATGGGTGGGTCTTTATATATCATTATTAATTCTCTTTGAAGAAGATATGGGTAGTGTTTGAGAACCATTATTTATCCTCTTTAATCTATAATATATAATTAGTTGAGAATTCCATATATTACATTAGCACAGGATTTCAGATAACATTGGATCCAAAAATAACAAAAAAAAAAAAAAAGTGACGATAATTTTATAAATAATGGAGTCGGCTTTTATTTCGGATATAGAAAGAATTTATGTAAAAATGGCTTTTTACATTGAGTGTACAGTTGTTTGACGTAAAAAGTGAGTTTTATGTTATTCAATTCTAGGTTCGAGATAAAAGTCACGTTGCGCGGTGATAATTTTATAAACAGTGGGCTCAAAACTTACATCTGATCTAGAAACGACCGACGTAAAACTCGCATTCAACGTCAGTTACTTATAGATTCGACGTAAAACTTGTGTACGCCACTTTTTTTGTCTCGAACAACAAGCATTTTTAAAGACTACGACGACAGCGACAATGACAAGCTATTCTCAAGGTGACACAGTGTGAGTGATGAGAATATTTTTATTGTGTCTCATTTGTGATGTAAAATATTTCTCTCGGATTGAATTCAAGTTTTATATTTTTTTTTTATATTTGAGATTAGTATTTTATATACATCGTCTCCTTTTTTATATGTTGAAATTGAATATTTCTACTAGATTGTTATTGATATTAAATTGTTGTAGTTAGTGTTTTATGCGTTTGAATCTTACTTTTTTTGTTGTTGTTTTGTGTATTAAAGTATCTTCAAAGGGAGTTGCTTCCAAGTTGCTTAGGAATAAAAATAAATATTTTATTATGGATCCTCGCATAGGACATCTCCAAAGAGAGTTTTTAAGTAGAGTTAGTTAAAAATAAAATTAAATATTTTATTATGGGTCTTACAGTTGAGTTGCTTAAAACATTATCAGAGTTGTTTATTCAAGCAACTTTCTTCCAATTTTAAGCAACTTTCTTCACTTTTAAGCAACTATTGGTAGCAACTCCCATTGGAGATGCTCTAAGTTGCTTAAAAGTGAAAAAAATTACTTAAAATTGGAAGAAAGTTGTTTGGATAAGCAACTCTGATCAAGTTTTAAACAATTCAATTGTAAAACCTATAATAAAATATTCAATTTTATTCTTAAGCAATTCTTATTAAAAATTTCCTTTTGGAGATGTAGGGTTTTATGATGAAAAAAGAAATGGAAAATGTTCGAAGCAAGATCATTTTTGACTTGGATGTCGGATTTGGACGCAAAACATATTAAAACAAAGAGAGAAAAAAAAAAGAAAAAAAGAGAGGGCAAATCCAAAGGGGAATTTGTCTTAATAGTTTTCCCAAAATATGCTCCTAAGCACATGTAATACACAAAAGTTTGTGCGAGTATGACCAGAGGTCATTGTTTTTAATATTTGTTAAGTTCATTTACCTTTGTGTTTATTGTTAACTGGAGTCAAATTAATGTTTCAGGTATTTCAATATTTATCCATCTACACTATCAGAACATTATATTACACAGATTAGATAACAAAGAATAAGGTTTTTCGTTCAACATTTCTAGTTTGTTTTGTATGTTATTGTTTGTTTGTATTGTTTGTATGTTTTGTATTGTATGATATCTGGATTCACTGCAAAAAAAAAACAAAATTTACGTCAGACCAGAGGTATACCCGACGTAAATTTACGTCGGTTACCCCAGGGTTCGACGTAAATTTACGTCGATTATCATAAGATCTGACGTGAATTTACATCCGTTACCACAAGATCTGAAATAAATTTACGTCAGTCATCTCTAAGATCGAACGTAAAATTATGTTAATTATCCTAGGTTTGATGTAAATTTACATCTCCTATCTTAATGTTGGACTTGTTTATGACATAAAAAGGTTAAAATAATATACGTAAAAGTTCAATTTTATACTAATGTTAATATAATAATTTATTATATAATATATTAAATTATTAATTAGATGTGTTGTCAATTTTTCTTTTTCTTTTTTGCTTAGGTCCACCAGCACGGGTAAAATTGGGCAAAATTGATAAAAATGATGTAATTTGTTTTATTTATTCTGAAGATGGGTAAAAAAAATTTTAAATTATATATGGGTAAAATACGATTTTATTTCGTGAGTGGAAAAATAACTTTTTCATTTTTTTTAAGTTGTGTTCCAATTAAAGATTTTAGCATTTTTTTAAATTTGAGTTGTCAATTTATTGACAGCTTTAGTTTAATTTCTTTTTATAACGAAGTTGTCATTTAATTGATGATTTTAGTTCAATTTTTTTTTATTGAAATTGTTAATTCATTAACGATTATAGTTTATATATTTTAAATTAAATCTTATTTTTAAAGTTTTATTTTATTAAAAATTTAATAACATAATTAATTAATTATTATTTAGATATCTATAATATTAAATAAATTTTAAATATATTAAATTATTAAAAAGAAAATATGGATTTATTAATGAGAAAAATATGTATATATTATATAAAAAAATAAAATTTTATATTTTCATTGTCAATATGAACAATTTTTTCATTTGGATAAAATGAACTTTTTTTTTACTTATTCAGAATAAGTTCTTTCATTTCATTATGAATGCAATTTGTTGTTGGTCTTCTTGGTTGTTGTCGAAATAGACTTGGATTATGAACAAATTTTGGACCTAAATAAGGAGATAAATAATTTTTGTTCGAACCAGATGAAAGTGCACCTCATAAGTCTTTTAAATAGTTTGTAGTTTATACATCAAGTTATGTGTCAAGGTGTAAGTGACATTATCAACATACATCAATGACATAAGAGTAAGGAAGTTGGAGATATTAAAACTATATATAATCACATCACCAATCATTTAATTTCACTGTATAGTTTACGGGATAACTACCACGTTGAAATTTGATACCTCTTCAAATCAAACTATATTTTCACAATTGTAGTTTTGAACAATACATATTTTTTTACACATCATTGATTTTCTTTGAGCAAGTTAACGATATCATGCTTGTAACATTCACTCTGTTTTGGTTTCTTATTCAATAAATAAATCATGATTTAATTCTTTTAAACGTGGATTTCAAGAGAACACAAGTAGATAAAACACATGCTTCTTTCTAAATTGAGTTGACATGCTTAGCAAGATTTTTCTTATGTGTTTTTTTTTACTTAAAATATTAATATTTTCTTTTCGATAAATATTAAAATCAAACTTTTACTAAATAAAAAAAGTATTTAAAATATATGAAATATTAAAAAAAAATCAATTAAAATAGTCATTTAAAAGATAACTTCAATAAAAAAAATCCTACTCAAGCAGTGTGTATATAAATACAACTTTTGAAAAGAAAAAAAAAACGAGTTACTAAAATGTCGGATATATATATACATACGCCTTTTATTAAAGTCGTCTGTCAAATTCACGAACTTTTTTCTATCAAAACCTATTCCAATGCACCACTTACCTGTAAACAATTTTTTTTTTTTTTAATTTATCCATTTGAGAATAATAAAAACAAATTACACGAAAATTGATAGTAAAATTGCGTGTCTTGCCTTCTTCGTCTGCATTTTGCCCAGTGTGCAACAAAACTCAACGTTGTAGAACCAAATGTATATAATGTAGAAAGACCTCTACCATAGTTGGCATGAATTTCCATGTAATAACTTTCGACGTGCTTTGAAAACCTCTACCACAGACTTATGAATGAATATTGTGTTTATTTGTCTGAAGAATCTGAAGACCGGACCAAAATTTCTACCACAGCATTTTTACACATGTCATATACAAAACACACATGTTTGTGATGGTCCTCCAATATCATTGGTATCAGTGGAGGTGTTTAACAAGTGGAAGGTTAACGTTGTCGTTTTATTATTTGGATGATTGTATTTTTACCAAGGTGCAACAGAGAACAACGTTGTTAATTTTGGGACCATGAACTTTTATATAAAATGGTCCTCCTTTAACAAGAAGTAAAGACTAAATTGTATCCTCATATTCAAGATACGAAATCCCTAAAGTCTTCTATTACTTGCACGTCAGTACAATCTCTTGGCTGGAATTTTAAAAATATGATAAAATACGATAGATATATTATATCTTTATTTCTTAATATTTCAGTGGTTTTAAACGTCACAAGTTATATTTAAATATTACGAAAAGAAGTAAATGGACATCTACTATAATCCTAACATCCATTCATTATAAAGTAGACATGGTGAACCTAGGACTCGTTATTGTAGTTTGATTTTGGTTCCCAAACATGTCATCCAACTCTTTTGCAAATCTATTCATAGCTTCAGCAGGCAACCAAATTGGTAAGACTATTCCTTCTTCTCCTTTTGCATTCTTATGCGACATCTGAAAGGATGCTCCAAGAAACCTCCCAGCCCCTCCTCGGGCCAATCCACCATACACAGCCTCACCCCACCCAAAGTTCACTTCTCTAAACCTCGCACGTGTCAAATCCGAAGTAATACAAGACCTTATGGTTGTATATGAGCACCGTTCCTTAATCACCATCAAATCTGCCACAGAATGCATATACTCTTCTGTCACCTCACCTTTCACTTTGTTTATCAGCTCTAATGCATACCCAAAAGGATTTTCACAAAGCTTCCCTGCAGTGGTAACTGCTGCAGGGAATGCCAAAGCATTGCCGTAGTAACCAACGGGTAAAGGAGGATTGAACCTTCCACGTGCATTCACTATCACCATCATGCGAACATCCTCATCTGCCTCTATCTGCAATGCTTTTGTACGACAACGCCACAAGCATGCTGTGATGAGATCAAATGTGGAGCATTTGTGAAGGTGTGGTGGAACCAAACGACGAATAGCAGCTACTTGGGTAGGTCCAAAGAAGAACGATCGATGAACCATGTGATCATCGTTGTTTGATGTGATGGTTCCTTTGTTGGTGTCGGGGACATGTTCGTATTCGCGATGGTGGCATGTAATGCGAGGTGGATGTCTTGCCATTAAGAGTTCCCTACGCCAGACAGGTGCAATGGAAGGTTTGGTTGCACCGCGAGCCATTTCAGCCCACGCGTTCATGAATGATGAAACACCACCGCCATCACACATGGTGTGGTTAAAGTTGAAGGCCAAGATGAAACCACCGCACCTAAGGCGTGTCACCTGTCATCAGAGTTAAAGTCCCGTATCAAGAAACTATATAAAGAAAGAAAAGTTGTGAAGAATGGACTTAGATATCTGAGTTTTTAATAGTATTGAATGGAACAATAATTATGTAAACAAAATGATATCCTGCTTGTAACATGCACTTCTTTTTTCAAATCGTTTTTAATACATAATTTTTCTATTTTTTTTTCAAGTAGCTTAGATATAATTATCATTTTAATGTTTTTCCCGAAATTAATTAACATTAATTTAATAAGTGAAAATATTATAACTAAATAATTATTTCATTTTATTTTTATTTTTTTCAATTTATGTTAATATTATATTTTGTATTTTATTTTTCTTTAAAATGAATCGATGTAATTTTTTTTCATAATTTCGATAAGTTTTCATAAATAATATACCAATAATATAAATATATAATAATATCAAGTTAAATATGATTACGTTAATATTATATGATAATTCTTTTCGAATAATTTAATAGAGTATACGGAATAAATCACCTTGATTTAATTAGAAAATAGACTAAATTAGTATTAAAAATAATAAAAAGGATTAAGCCAAAAAAAATCATGGTAATTTATACAAAATATATATGAAATAATTTGAAATTTTGACGGGAATCTATGTCCGTTGGATAAACTAATAAACCGGTTAGACAAATTAAAAAATCAGTCTGAAAAAAAAATCGATTAAATAACTGAAAAAATAGTTGAAAATGATAAATTGAATGAATAAAAAACTCAACAATATATCATATTAAAAAATAAATTCTAAAATATTTAATCTTTTAAAATAATTATGTCGGTAAAATTATTAAAATGGTATAATTTTAAACTTAAATTACTAATTTAAAAAAATGTGAAGTAAATGAGTAAATTTAATAGCACGATTTTATAAAAAAGAATTCATGCTGTAAATTATAATTTCAATTTTTTTTAAATGACAACAAAAAAACTGAAATCGTGTATAATATAACACGATTCCATTATCTGAAATTCTATTACCAAAATAACTTACTCATTTAAAAATTATGATTTAAAACTGAAATCGTGTTTAATAGATTTAAAATTGCTATGATTTTTAAGATTTATGTCAACAATATGTAGTATTTGGACCTGTATGAGCAGAATGGGATTGTTGGTAATTTCTTGTGAGCCAGGAACATCATAAAGCAGTTCATGGAAGCACGGGAATGGAGGTTGGAGGGAATCACCAAATTGGTCAAGTGTGACGTCAGCATGAGCCTGGATGAACATGACACCCTCTCCGGTACAATCCACCATCAACTTGCGGTGAGGCCCCTCCCTCAGCCTCCCTGCAAATGGGTAATAGAAGACAAGTGTTTGTGACAGTGCTTGCCGAAGCACTTCAACCGGGTCTCTCTCTCCCATTGATGCTTGCTTTCTATAGATTTGTATGACTGGAACATGGAAACGCAGGCCAAGTTGATCATCTATGTCGGAAAGTAGCTTGATTTCGCGAGGAGTGGGGAGAGCAGGAGGCACAAGCTGAGGTTGGCACCTGCGTACTGTAAACGTTAGAGAGGAAGATGGTGATGGAGAGGCCATGATAATTATCAGAGATCACAACATAAATATTTAAGTTATGGCTTTTGGCTGAGCGTGAGTGAGTTAGTGCAGCCGAGGCTGCTAGTATTTATAAATGAAATATATATTGTCATTCAAAAAACGTTTTCATTGTGACATAAATAGAAGTTGTGTATGTTTCAGATTTTTAATTTAAAAACTCTTTTAAATGAACGAAGATACTAATAATTATGATAAAAGACCATGATTTCAACAATTTTAAAACAAGAAAAGAGTAATGTATGACAACTACTAGTACAAACTTAAAATTTAAATAAAAATATATTTTATCAGATTTTTGTACAAATTGAAAGAAAAAATATTTTTAACAAGATGGTTATTAAAATTGTTTTTTAGTTTTTAAAAAATTAAAAATTATTTTTAAAAATAATAAAGAAGCATGCCTTAAGACTTTGTAAGATCTATAAATATAGGAAAGTAGTAAATAATTTTAGAAAATAATTATATATCTTGATAATTTTAAATTAAATATCTTTTACGTGGCATCTATAAAAATTTAAGTTATCTGGAAAAAGTTTATTGACATACGAAGGTATTATATCATAAAAATATAATGAAAAATATAATGAGAGGTTTGATATACATGAAATAAAATGATAAAATCCTAAGAAAGATTTCTTCTTAAAAAAGTAACATATATTATAGTTTTTTAAAAAATCATATAAGACAAAAGACTTATTAAAATTAATTAACATAAATATTTAAAAAAAATAATAAATAATTTATCATTTACATTTATGATTTGTTGAGAATGATTTGAGTTTATATCATTAAAGAAAAAAATTTAAGAAATTTAAAACTCTACTAAACATATATACAAGTTTTAAGAAATAATTAAGAATATAACTCACTTAAACTTTGTGAATATAAAATGATAAACTAACCTCTTGTAATAGAATATTCACAATAATAATAATAATAATAATGGAATGTCAAAAATAAAGAATTCCACAATCGTATTCATAAATAGATCAATGATAAAAAAAAGAAAGGTTTGCCTAATTTGTTTGTTTCGACAAGAAGAGTTTATATTATGGTATATATATATATATATATATATATATATATATATATATATATATATATATATATATATATATATATATATATATATATATATATATATATATATACTGATTGATGTCCAAATTATAAGATAGTTCAAGACAAAATTCTAATTGAAATTTAAAATAGGAAAAAATCACTATTAAATACTTAAAAGTTTACGAAGGAATCTTTATAAGATATAACATAAAGGTTATAAAATTGATAACCTATAGGCAAATAAACTTACTGTTAATAGAGATATTGAAGTTGATTAAAGTATTCATAAGTTTGAAAAAAAAAATAAACATCTTTATTTTAATACAACAATCTTGAGAAGAAGTTCAAAAAAGTAATATAAGATCCAATACACTTCCTTACCAGTATAATACAAAAAATTCACCAAAGTTTACTTATAGACAAGTAAGGTACTTGGATATACAAAACATACACCATCACAATGTTAAGTTTAAATGTTATACAATGTTAAGTTTAAATGTTATGAAGAAATAGGAATGTAAGAAGCAGTGGATAAAAAAATGGAAGAGTTTATTAAAATGATTGAAAATAATTTGATAAATGGCAAATTTTCTCAATGAAAAAGATATAATTGGAGTTAAATTAATGAGTTTATTAATAAAACTAAATTTTGATAGTACCATACAAAAGTACAATAATATGTTGGTGATAAAGAATTATTTATAATAATTTAGAATAAGCTATAACAAGTGATTTGTCATAGTTTAGATAAAATTAGAGTTTTAATAGTTTTTAATGGAATATTCATCGATTAAATGTTGTAACAATTTTTTTATATTGTGTATTTGAAAAGATACATGTGAAATTTATAAGTAAGTAAAATGAAGTTAAAGTGTTGAGGTTAAGAAAAATTATGAATTACTTAAAGTAAGTTCTTTTAAGTAAGATAAGATGAAATTGTTAAGGACTTTATTGATTAAGGATTTAAGATGAATAAGAATAAACTAATATTATACATGAAGATCTAAAGTTAGTATGAGCATACATGATTAAAATATTTGGGATAAGTGACCTTGACTTATTAATTATTTTTTTAATATAGAGGTAAAATGACAAATGGAAAAAATATTTATCTCTACAAAAGTATACTAAAATTTAATTAAAAATATTGAAAATATTTATTTACAAATTTGTGAATATTTTGATTGAAAGTTTAATATATCTTATCTATCATCGGAAGAAAAAGTCAAATTCACCTTAGAGTAACAAAAGAATTTTAAAATATTTATAAGATAAAAGAGTTTGGTATTTAATATAAAATCATAACCAACTCAAAATAGATTGATGGACTTATATGATTGAACATGATTAATAGATTAATAAATAATATGAAGAGTACATTTTATATTTTCTTACTCAAATCTATGGACATAAAAAGAAAAAGTAAACAATAGTGACACAATAGCATACACAAAATTGATATGTCCAGAAATTGAATTTATAAATATCAAACCATTCGACTTTAAAATATTTATCAAGATATAGAAAAATAATAAAATGAGTTTACTATAATTAATTGTGACAACAAATATATAATAACAATCATATGTTATAGTAAGACAAAATATATAATAATTAAATATTATTTAATTAAAAAAAGAAAAAAAGAAAAAATCAAAGTAAAATATTATGCTATGAAATTGTAAACATATATACCAAAATATTATAAAGAGATAAGTTTAAATAATTATTGAAATTTATATCAAAAATATTGTTGAATTTAATACAAATTTCAAAAAGTTATGAAAAAAAAATTATAATCATAAATACATAAAAATAATAGATAAAATTTATAATTTATAATTATAATTTTTTTAAAGTTAACAAATATAAAATTATTTATAATATCATAAAGTTAATCACTACCACTATTGAAAAAAAAAAAGCTTTTATGGTCACTCAATTGTCGTTGCATGTAAAAATATTCGACGTAAATAAAATATGGTAAAATTTTATAAATAAGAGACAACGTTACGCACATCTTAGGAGGTGAAGTAAAAAACTTCTTTTATGTCGTAGCTGGATCGCACATCTTAGGAGGTGATGTAAAAAGCCTCTTTTATGTCGTAGTTGGGTGATGCAACGTAAAAAAAAAAGGGTTTTTTACGTCACATGCTGGATTACGCGACATAAAAACTATCACTTCTTACCATGAAATAATAAACCAAACTTAAAAAGTGTTAGGAAGTATAAGAAAAAATTAATATAAACTTTGTCATATTTTTGAAGATTATTAACTACATTTTTTAACTTCTTATTGATCATTTTTGAAGATTATTAACTTTCTTTCATTTTTCTTACGTGTTTCAAATATTTGACCGATACTGATCGCTAACTTTGTTGTCTCCATAAAAGACAAATGTTAGCAGAAGTGGGGAAACCACTGGAATAAAAACTATTTTTATCAGATAAAAAAGTTTATAATAATAAAAGTAAAATAATTTTATTTATTAGCTATATTATTATTATAGTAAAATAAATATAAATATTATTAATATATATAGCCAATTATGTTTTTAATCTAATTTATTATAGTAATTTTCGTTTTTTTTTTATTGCAAAGACGTTAGTTTGTCTTGTTATTAACACGTGATTTTCGTATATATCTGACTAGACAAATATGGAAGTGTCCTTCCACCCTAATTCAGTAAAAAAACAAACAATAAGAAAGAGAAAGGGATGGAGATCAAATTTTTTTTAAAATTATATTTAACAATAAATTAAAAAAAAATTGTTTGATAATTTTATTTTCGAAAAATATTTTAAATAAAAAATAATGATGTATTAAAAGTTCAAAAATAATTTTACAAATTTTTAAATTATAAAAATATTATTTAGATTTATTTTCATAAATTAGATTTATTAGATTTTTTAATGAATTAAATTAACCTAATTGTTTAACTTAATGAGATATTGTAAAAAACATCGATTTGGCCTATTACCTAACTTTGCACTTGCTTTCACATAACAATTATTTGAAATAAATAACATTTCATAAATAAACAATAAAACACATTGATTTGGCCTATACCTAACGTTGTTCTTGTTTTTACATAAGAGTTATCTGAAATAATAATTTAATTTATATAAATATTATTTTTTAGGTTTAAATTTATTCATTCTAGTATAGTTGTCATATGAAATTTTTGTCTGTTTATTTGATTTTTTTTAATTTTCATATATTAAGAAGTTTTAATTTATTGTTGAAATACCATTCAATTGTTAAGAGTTATTAATATATACGTTAATAAAATAATATATACTAAAATTAATTGTCAAATTTTAATGAATAACTGACAGTAGCATACATGTAATGTTTTTAGTATGTCATTAGATGACATATTGACAGTATATGAAAACTGAATTTAATAAATTCAACTAAATTTTACTTAAAACCTATATAGACCAAAAATATTTAATCATAATTTTTACAACATGAATTATTTTATTTTTACTTCATAATATTTTTCCTTCTTATTTGTATTATGATATAATTGTTATATATTATTTATAGTGGAAATTGTGTTTTGTTTCTATTATCATTTTATTTCTTTGATGGTACAGACAAATAATGTCACGTTGAAAAGCACGTTCAACAGCAAACTATAAATGCAAACAAACACGGTAAAGGCAAATTCAAAATCAAATTTAAAACGACACCTCTTCTCGTAAGACAACAAAGCAATACGCACCACTCTTTATTTCTCTGGTCCCATATTCGGATAAGAACTGATATGTAGAAAAAAAAATTAAAAATAAATATATATATATATATATATATATATATATATTTTTTTTTATTCGAATTTTATGATGAACTCAAATATCATTTACATGCAGCTGACTTAAATATAAATAAATTTAATTAATTTAATCTT